CCAGTCTACTTGAGATTCAGTAACAGCTGATTTAACTATACAAGGATACACATCCCATGCCTTGTGTTAAATCATGACATTTAGGACAGAAGGATAATAGTTATAGAATGTCTTGTGTCGTAGAAGGTATTGATGAGATGAACGTCTTTTTCATAATCTGGGGGTAATAATGTGTTGCTAGATACCGCTTATTATCTATGATATTGATTTTATTAATATCATTGCCAGTGTTATGCATACATAAAGGGTCACACACTTAGGACTTTTAAGGGAGTAGTATACTACACTAGTGGGAGTAATATTAAATATATAGTTGTAATAATTTTATACATATATATGTATTTCGAAAATACATATGTATTTTAAAATTATATTTTGTTTGTGTCATTTTAATTATATGATAATTATATTTTGACAAAACAAATTTTATTATATATATATATACATATATATATATACATATATATATATATACACATATATATATATACATACATATATATATATACATATATATATATATATATATTATTTAAATATTTTTTTTATTATAATAAAGAAAGAAGTACACGAAAGCTGAGGGGTGGCCCAGCCCCAACAAAGGACCAAATGAAAATAAAAGCAAATGACAGGACAGAGGATCCCAAAGCCAAAACAGAAGAGGCCAAACACTAAAATGCAATAGTAATCCAACGAGAAAGGTTTCAAAGTTGACAAGCATCATTTCATGAAATGAATGTGCTACCCTTTTCTTGCAAGCCATGTTCAAGGTAAGCTCAAATTACAGCCTAGCCTCCAACTTCAAAGCCTAATTCTCGCCCAAAGTAGGCCCCTCTGTTATCCTTGACAGATCTGCATATTTCCTTGTCCAATAGACGTCCCCATTGACCCATTCATTCAGTCAAATTGTTTATGGTGTGTTGTTTTCCTGAGATGTTACAGACTGTCTGTAATACTTCGAAGTACAGCAATATCCTCCATGAATCTGCTCATGAAAATCAGTCTCCAGTAGCTATTAGAGAGTTGCAGCCCAAAAACCTTAAAGAAATTCCCTAAAACAAGGAAACCCTTAACGTGTAAAGACCTTGATGCCGTTTCAAATCCTTTCCACAGTTAACAAGAGGAAACCATAGAATATAGAAGAATATATTGTCTCAAGTAGTCCATCATCAACAAGCAACAAACCATAGATAAAGAATCCCTAGTAGTCCTCACAGTCATTCATAATCGATGAGGTGTTCACACAAGGACGTAATGATAGGTTCATCAATGTTGGCACAAGATAGGAGGACCGGATGTCTCGTACCTTTCAGCTTGATTGCCCTAATGCATTGTGTGCTCTTCATAGCGTCCCTTGTAGCTTTTATTGCCTTACCCTGGAGTGTGTTCACTAGACCCTTCTGAATCTTTTCTATGACGAAAGGCAAGCGTAACGCTTCCTTAATTATCCAAAGAGATTGCTCAAAGTCATCACTAATATGTTGCTCAAAAATCGGCTTAAGAATCTCAAACTCTTTTTGGAGATCTCCTCTTGCTAATTCCTCCACATTTGCATCGATCATCTTTAGCTTAAGCTCATATTGAATAGGGTTATCCAAACTTGAAACTTGCATTTTCGGAGCGTGCTTAAACAGACCGTCGATAATCAGTTGCTCTTCACGGTTTAGGAGACATGGCTTAATAGACTCATCTTCTGGTTCCAACTCACCAGGCGTGCCAGGCTGAAGTTGGGTTCTTGCACCCAAGACTCCAGGTTGCAGAGCTTTTGTCCCATCATCAACCTGTCCAATCTCCAGTGTGGGCTGCGAATCCGTTGATATTTCATTTCCTCCTCCCAATATAACAGCAGGAGCTTTATCTATGGGACTCTGGAAGTGGAACCTTAGGAGGATGAGTTCCATCAGAAGTTTTGTTCGCCACAAATCCATCTGTTGGAGGCCCTCCAAGAGTCATACCACCAGAGCTACCATGTCTGTTAAAGGAGCCAGGTGCATGAGCCTCATGTACCATTGTAAACTTCTGAATAGCAGGGAGAGTTTTTTCAATATTGGGGTTCTTTGTCTTACCAATGAAGACATCAACAGCATTAAAGAAGCATTTCGAACCTCCTCTATCAACTGGAACAAAAATAGAGGTGTTCCCTTCAAGCCTAGACTCAAGAACTCTGATAAAATTCCCCCACCTATTAGACCCATATGAAATTGAAAGTTTTCGATGCGTTTCAAATCGCGTGATAGCCCAAGGGTTTCTTTGGTTTAATTTGGGGAATAGCTCAAGAATCCATTTCAACCCTTGTAAATCAAACCAAATGTCATAGTTCCTCCTCCCAATTTCCGTAATACAGAAATTCTGATTATAGCATGAGTGAAATAGATTAAAAACCTTGGATTGTATGCGGAAGGAATGAAACCGATTCTAACTTTCACTCGCTTGGCTTGAGATTTTGGGAGTGTCGTTCCATCTCAGGATTCTCTTCCCTTGCTAGCGTCTTGAGGACCAAGATCTATCCCGAATTCTTCCCCAC